AGTCGGCACTTCAGGTTTCTCATGGTACTCCAGGTGGTGGTGGTCCTCAGCAGTATTATTCGGATTAACAGACCTTCAGCGCACCACCATCCCCCATCCGTGCACCGCCACTTCAGAGCTTCAGGGGAGGACATACAGGTCGACAGGGCCAGCAGTCCCAGCAGCCGAGGGCATGTTATGGTTGTGGTGACCCGAGTCACATTGTCAGGTTTTGCCCCCGAGCCTCGAGTAGTTCTCAGCAGCAGGGTCCTCGCCCTACGATTCAGGCAGCAGGTGATCCACAGGCCGCCCAGCCGGCTAGAGGCGGGGGTAGGGATCATAGGGGTGGAGGGAGAGACCGTAGATGTGGAGCTCGGACCGCCAGAGGCAGGGGTCAGCCAGCAGCCGATCGCTCTAGAGACACAGTTCAGGGAGGTGGGGGGTCAGCCCCGTTGTTATGCTTTCCGGCCAGGCCAGAGGCCGAGTCATCAGATGTTGTGATTACAGGTACTATTCTGGTCTGTGGTAGGGGTGCTTCTGTGTTATTTGACCCAGGATCTACGTATTCTTATGTGTCGTCCTATTTTGCACCCTATTTGATCATGCCTAGTGAGGCTTTGGGTATTCCTGTATATGTGTCAACACCGATTGGTGAATCTATAGTGGTCGACCGAGTGCATCGTTCATGTGTGGTGGTATTTGACGGTCTTGAGACCCGTGTCGACTTATTGCTTTTAGATATGGTGGACTTTGACGCTATATTAGGGATGGACTGGTTGTCCCCGTATCATGCTATTCTGGATTATCACGCCAAGACCGTGACCTTGGCCTTGCCAGATTTGTCCCAACTTGAGTGGAGAGGGACCCTAGACCATGCCACCCGCAGTGTTATTTCGTATATCATGGCTCGACGTATGGTCGAGAAGGGGTGTCTAGCATATCTGGGGTATGTTCGCGACTCCAACGCAGAGGTTCCATCTATTGACTCTGTTTCTATTGTTCGGGAGTTCCCCGAGGTTTTCCCTTCAGACCTGCCGGGTATGCCGCCCGACAGGGATATTGATTTCTATATTGATCTGGCTCCGGGCACTCAGCCTATTTCCATTCCGCCATATCGCATGGCCCCGCCAGAGTTGAAAGAGTTGAAAGAGCAGCTTCAGGACTTGCTTGATAAGGGTTTCATTAGACCTAGTGTATCACCTTGGGGTGCAGCAGTGTTGTTCGTGAAGAAAAAGGATGGGTCGATGAGGATGTGCATTGATTACCGGCAGTTGAACAAGGTGACAATAAAGAACAAGTATCCACTACCGCAGATTGACGATTTGTTCGACCAGCTTCACGATGCGAGGGTGTTTTCAAAGATAGATTTGAGATCTGGCTACCACCAGCTGAGGATTAGGGAGTCTGATGTCCCTAAGACAGCATTTCGCACTCGGTATGGGCACTATGAGTTTTTGGTCATGTCATTCGGATTGACTAATGCCCCAGCAGCGTTTATGGAGTTGATGAACCGAGTGTTCAGACCTTATTTGGACTTGTTCGTGATAGTCTTTATCGACGATATTCTGATATACTCCCGCAGTCAGGAGGAGAATGAGCAGCACCTCAGAGTGGTTCTTCAGAACCTGAAGGATAGTCAGTTGTATGCTAAGTTCTCAAAGTGCGAGTTTTGGTTGAGTTCGGTCGCATTCCTGAGTCATGTCTTATCAGCAGCAGGTATTCAGGTAGACTGGAAGAAGATAGAGGCAGTCAAGAACTGGCCTCGACCAGCTTCAGCTGCGGAGATTCGGAGTTTCCTGGGGTTAGCAGGTTACTATCGTCGGTTCGTTGAGGGGTTTTCATCCATTGCAGCCCCTATGACCAGATTGACCCAGAAGGGTGCCCAGTTCAGGTGGTCAGACGAGTGTAAGGCGATCTTTTNGGTCATCACCATAATTCTTCCTTGTTCCGTGCTTCCGAGGCCTTGAAAACCTCGCTTTTAGTTGTCTCGATATTGCGTGCGCAGTCCGGGCGCGAAGCCGAAAAGCTTTTATGTTGAAATAGTCGAATTTTGCGAGAAATTTGATGAATTTTGATATTTAATACGCATAATATTGACTTCGGTTAACATTTTGGGTAAACGGACCCGGACCTGTGATTCGACAGTCCCGGAGGGTCCGTAGAAAAATAT